TCATAGTTGCTATTTCCTTGTTTCGTTAGACTTTTTTGTTTAATATATCGAGTGTTTGTATGGCACTCATGATTTATTTTGAAAAAAAAAACATAACAATGACTCTAATTTTTTACTCCAAAAACAATGACTCATGCATCTCCCAAAACTAAACAATGACTAAATTCCAAAACTTCTTATTCTTGCATGAATTTTCAAAACTTCATCAAAAAAATGAATCAATACCTACATATAGAAACGTAGTAAATTGTTAAATTAAAATGTCCATACAGTGTCAAAAAAGACCACATCAAATGTCACATGTAATCATATAATGGCAATCATGCTAATGTATAAAGTCATATATGTGAATGCATAATGCTAAAAAAATAACAAATTTGAACGTAAACAAAATTAAATATAATAACAAAACACCCCCAAAACTTCATCAACAAAAATGAATCAATACCTTATATATAGAAATGTAGTAAATTGCTAAATTAAAATGTTCATACAATGTCAAAAAAGACCATATTACATGTCACATGTAATCATATAATGGCAATCATGCCAATGTATAAAGTCATACATGCGAATGCATAATGCTAAACAAATTAAATAGATAATGCCAACCTTGACATTGTACGGATAATATTATTTCTGGTAATGTATAATAAAAGATATATCAATGTATAATGTTAAACATCACACATGTTAATGCATAATGTCAAAAAGGGGTAAATGTCAAGTAACTCTATTTTTTGCCATAGTTTTGTTTAATGAGTATTGGGAGTCCAACTTGGTTTGTGTGCCCAACTTGGTTTGTGCGGCTAGGAGGGTTAATCAAATCATATATTTAATTAATTACTCCTATTTAGGGGAGTTTATGTTTGAACTCCTCTTTTGAGGATATGATCCATGTTTTGCTCCTATTTAGGGGGTTTTTCTTAAAACGAAAGAGGAAGTTTATTTAGGGACGGCGGGAGTAGTAAAAAAGTATGATGTGATAGGTAGGGCATGAAAAAGTAAAGGGTAAAAGGGGGTTTTTAAGGGAAAAGAGAAGTTTATTTGGGGACAAAGAAAAAACGAAAGAGGAAGTTTATTTAGGGACGGAGGAAGTAATCCTTGTGAATGCATATATGTGACGGGCACGCATGCAGTTGAAGCTTTGGATGCACTGAGGAAAAACTTGAGCGATCCAAACCTTGCTCTGCAGAGCTGGGATTCATCCCTAGACTGCAGCCTCTGGGATCATGTCGTCTGCACCCGGACAATAGCTTTACACGAATGTAAGCCGTTGTTCATCTGCATGCAGAGAGAATTTTATTTAAGAAAAAATTATTTAAATAACACTAAAACATAATGACTTTCTCTAAATAGCACCATATGTGTTTTTCTTTCCAATATATCACTTTTAGTCATTATGCATTAGTCATTATTCAAGTAAATATTCGCCATTACTGGACATTATGGACATTATTAAGTGCTATTTAGGGAATAAAACAGTTTAAGTGCTATTTAGGGAAATGACTTTAGTTTTAATGCTATTTAGTGCAAATATTTCTTTATTTAATGCTAGCTACTCCCTCCCGTCCTAAAAACTTAATTGGTTTGTTTTTAGAGACTCGAATCAGATCACACTCTCATGTTTTTTTTGGTATGTACGTATTTACTTAACTACTTCTTTTTTTAGTGATCTCGGAAATGCCGGTTTATCGGGTCAACTCGTCCCCGAGCTTGGCAACCTTACGAACTTACAGTACTTGTAAGTTTTTTTTTGCTAAATCAAACTAATATTTATTTAATTTTTGTGATTCATTATTGTAGAATTGTGTGAAGTAACATGATAGATCGATCTCATGTATTACCTCCGTCCCACTCTCTTTGTCCACTTTTAACTTTTGGAACTGTTCAACTAAACACTTTGACTCATCAAATTCTCTCAATGTATAAACCTAAATATAGTCATGTGTGATCTTGTTTGATTTGTCTTAACATATAGATTATTAATATATAATTTCTATAATTTTTTAATATACAAATTACAAGATAAAATGGATTAAAGAAGTGCATTGGATAGTGTGCCAAAAGGTAAGTGGACAAAGAGAGTGGGATGGAGGGAGTATGTTTTATTTCCAGGGAGCTTTATGAAAACAACATTGGTGGTGAAATTCCAATGCAACTTGAAAAAAGCGTACGCACACTCGCCCGCCTTTCTAATTATTAATCCCTTCGTTCCAAAAAGATTTACACGTTTCAAAAACATTGTGTCCCACAATCTCTTACTCATTTCTATTAAAAAACCACTTTTACCCCTTACTCTTTCAAACCCTAGCTATCACAGCATACTTTTTTTCTAATAATCTACACATCACATCCCACTTTTACCCATCACATCAAGGATATTTTTGGAAAGTCAACACAAAATTATCCTTCCCTTAATTTCAACTTTAGTCAAAATGGGTAACACTTTATGGGACGGAGGGAGTATTATTTTTTTTTCATTTGACCAATTCGAATGGGTGTTCAAGCATGACCCAAAAAAAATGGTAGAAATTTGAGTACGATGGAGATCGGGCCCACGAGATAATTGTATGAGTGGGCCTGATCGTAATACCGCGATAAGCGAAGGCGGCCCATCAGAAAAACGAGAGTGGGCCGAGTGATAACTGATGATGAGAGGGCTGGCTAGTGCCCATAAGAACATTACAGATCGATTTATGGAAATAAAGTTATTCTCTTCCCATGACGTTTTCAACTCTTGCTTTACGCTTTGTTTGGTAACGGAGTTTTCGATTAGCAATAGCGTTTTGGATAAAATTTTAATGTTACAGATTAATTTTGAAAATGCTAACGCTAAAGGCTACCGTCGGATAGCTTTTCCTAAACGCTAACGCTAATCTCTGACGCTGATGCCAAACGGGGCCTTAAACTCTTCCCATGACGTTTTCAACTCTTGTTTTAACCCCATCCTTGTATAAGTTTCTATTCATGTCCCGGTGCAACCTAACTTAGGTACAATCTAACAATTTTGTGATGTTTTTTGCACGAGAAATCTAATGAAATTAATTTTCTAGTACTATGTACTAAATTTATATTGATAAAATTTAGTATGGTTAGGACTGTAGGAGTCAATGGATTATGTCATAAAACACTTGGACTAAATCTTATAAAATGATTGAATCTAATCAATTACCTTTTAATTTTTTCAACTCACCATCCAGTTCTTATACACATTATTTTCATCTCATTTATCTACTCGAGAGGAAGAGTTAGTGTCTCCACATAAAAAAATGAGAAGAATATAATGGATACACGGAGTATAAGTTTTTGAATTGAACTAAGTAATCAATTAAATTTTATTTTATAATATAATTCATCCTAACTGTATTACGACCCAATAATTCAATCCAATAGAGTGACCACATCCTAAAATTAATCAAATCCAGGTTTTAAATGGTGATGTTGGGTATTTGTTGGGGGCATGCTAGGGGTACACCAAAATGGTGTACCCTATTTGTACATTAGACAAACACAGATACTAAGATCATGTTCCTTAGGACTAGAAAAAAGAGCTTGACATTCGAAGAATCTGGATGTTGAAAAAGGGGATTTATGTTTTACTCCTAATTTAGTCTTTTTCTCTAAAATATTTTGGCTTTCAAAAATGTTATAAAAATTTGAAAAATGTTTTCCTCATATCAATTTAGAAGAGTGTGAATTGTAAAAATAGTGACATGAAAATAATAAAAAAAATGAAATGATTTATAAACTATAGTTATGAACATAATTGTTGTAATAATAATAATCACATTAAAAATACATCTTTTTAGAGTCATTGTTTGGGAGTATAAAAAGTTTGAATAAAATGAGGATAGTTGGAAAAACTGGAATGAACGGAAAACCTGAAAAAACTGAAAAGAACTCGAAAAAACTGGAAAGAACCGACGGTTCTGGAATCAGAATCGTACCTTGTCCACCTCTAGTCCCAGAGTATTTGTCTAGTTTTGGTTTTATGCATTTTACCTGTTTGTTTAAACTTTTGTTTGGTTTTTTTTATTATATTAATGGAGGATTTCTGTTCAAAAAATTGATATTATTGTTATTTAATTTGGGGTTAAAATTAACCAATTTTGTCCGAAAAAATTTTAAATGGATAAATTCTTCGGGACAGAGAAGTACTTGTTATGATAACATTATTCAAATAGTTATTCCAATTATGCTAAAATATATGCTCCCTTCGTCCAAAAATATCTTTCCTGTTTTGACTTGGCATGAAGATTAATAAAAGTTAAAAAGTGTAAACACTTTTCATATGTTGTTTTTGATGTGATGAAATAAAGTGAATAAAATAAATAAAAAGTGGAGGTATATTGACAAACTCATTAAAAAAATTGCCAAAAAAGGAAATAGGATGCAAAAATTTAGACAGCCAAAGAAAGTGAGAAAGAAATTAATGGAGGGGTGAATAACAATTTTTTCTTATATACTTACTTCGTTCCATAAACCCTTCCCATTTCGTTTTTTCTTATATACTCACTTCGTTCCATAAAACACGTCCACATTCCATTAAAAAACCACTTTTACCCCTATTTTTTAATACCCTACCTATCATATCATACTTTTTTACTAATAACCAAACTATCACATCTTACTTTTACTCATCACATCAGGAGCAAAATTGGAAAGCCAATCAAAATTACACTTTCCTTATTTTGGTCTAAAGTCAAAATGAGAATGGTTTAAAAGAACAAAAGGAGTATACATTTGGTGAGTAGGTATATAACAATTTTTTTATATACTTCCTCCGTCCCTAAATATATCTTACATTTAATTTACTTTTTCAGTAGTTGCGAAAACTTTTGTTTATTTCTATGTTTACATTGGTTATTTGATAAAATAAAATATATTCTTGACACATCTTATTTCGAAGAACCTTTCATGTAGTTTTTTGATATGTAATTTCTTTTATTTCTATACCAATATATAAATAAAATGAATTGAAAAACTTAATATTTACCCTCAGTAATAGAAATAGAAATGTGAAATATATTTAGGGACGAGTAAGTATGACATCATGCATGATGTCTTTTGAAAGAGAGTGATTTGTTACTTTTTTCCCATGTAGTGTATGGTAGGTATATAAATAGATGATGATGATAGATGGAAGAATGCAAATTAGCTAAATTGTGGGTGTGAGTATAATAAGTATGAAGAACTACACCGAAGTTATTTCCTTATTCTCCCTTTTGCTTCTTCTTCTTCTTCTCTCTTCCTCCTCCTTAGCATCCGACAACCCTGAAGGTCTAGCTATGTTCCCTTTTTCCGATCCTCATTTTTAATTTATTGATTGATTACTATTATCTCTCTTTCTCTCAGTATTTATTCAGTTTTAACTTTTGGGATCGAAATGTCGATCAACACGCACTCGCAGGGGCGGAGGAGAGGGGGGGGGGGCTGCCGGGGCACGTGCCCTCCCGGCGAGCTTCCTGCGAAGAGGCGGTGACCATCGGTTGGGATTCACCAAAGATGAATGTGCCCCCCCGACACTTCGATGATAATGACGAGATGTAGATGGAAAGCAACTGTTTGAATGTTTCAAGCTTTATCTTTTTTTAAAGTTCAACAACTTTAGTTAAAACCGACACTCAATACGACGCCGTTTAGTTAATAGGTTAATGCTTAAATATTAAAAAACCCAAATAGCAGCCCTTGTTCTTCAGCTCTAAGCCGACTCGACCCAACAATCTTCTTCGCAAAATCGCAGTGACCAAGTATGATTTTAATTTTCTATCAATTGAAATCCTCTTCTACGCTACAGGTTTTTTATTGAATGTTTTTAATGTTATTTTTAATTTCTGATTTGCTTGTTATTTTGTGAGATAGGTTATTATTTATGCTTTGGTCTTGATTACAATTTTTATTCTATTTCATTAAGTTTTGTTCATTTTTTTTATTAACTATTTGATAAAATAAATTATTTTTCTTATCTATTTGAGAAAAAAATTGGGGCAAAGGTTATATTTTGTCATTTTAGATAGTAAACGGAGTATTTGTTTACCATTTTAGAACGACAGTTATGTTTATAAGATGATATTTTTTTCTTACACCGTATTTTTTTATTTAAGTTGTACTCCTTTTGATTTATAAAATTCTTCCGCCCAATTTTTTGCACATCCATAAAATACTTTTACTCTATCTAAAATGTCTAAAATATATCAAAAAACTTCAACCTGGTATAAACTACGTGATGAGACGTATTTTAGACATCTTAAGTGAGAATAAAAAGTGCTTTATGAAATTTATAGAAAATTAGGGATCGGAGAAAGAGTTTAACAGAGGGAGTATTATTTTGTGATATACGAGTAGTAAATTTGTGCCCTACCTCAAAGTTGCTCCTGGCTCCGCCACTGCGCACTCGATCTTATCATTCCGAAAATTTAACATAGTTTAATTATTCATTATTAATAATATATGTGACGGGCATGCAGTTGATGCTTTGAACGCACTGAGACACAACTTGGTCGATCCAAACAGTGCGTTAGAGACATGGGTCGATTCATCCTCGAGCACTCCTCCCTGCGACTGGTTTCATGTCTCCTGCAACACCGACGGTAATAATGTTGCACGAATGTACGTAAGCTGTTAGTTAGTTTTAACCATCGTTTGTTAAATGTTTTGTTTTTAGAGACTCAGAATCAGATCACACTCCCAGGTTTTCGGTATGTACGTATTTATTACTTTTTCTTCTTCTTTTTTTTTAGTGATCTCGGATATTCAGGTTTATCCGGTAAACTCGTCCCCGAGCTTGGCAACCTTACGAATTTAGAGAACTTGTAAGTTTTTTGTTGAGGAATTTAATTAAATAGCATTAAAACATAATGACTTTCTCTAAATAGCAGTACATGTATTTTTCCCAATTAGCATTTTTTAGTCATTATCCATTAGTCATTATTCAAGTAAATGTTTGACATCAAAAGCCATTATAGACATTATTAAGTGCTATTTAAGAAATAAAACAATTTTTTAGTGCTATTTAGAGAAGTAAATTAAGTTTTAGTGATATTTAGTGCAAGTATTTCTTTTTTGTTTTTTCCTTAAAACAATAATGTATAACAATGTTTAACTTCTTTGGCTTCAAACTAATTTTAATTTCATTTTTTTGTGATCCATTATTGTAGAATTGTGTGAACTAAGATGATAGATTGATCTCATATTCTCATGTTTTTTTAAATTTTATTTCTAGGGAACTATATGAAAATGACATTAGTGGGGAAATTCCAATGGAGCTTGGCAATTTAAAAAATCTAATTTCTTTGGATCTCTATGGTAACAACTTTACCGGTTCTATCCCTGTTACTTTGGGCCAGTATTTTCAGCTTAGATTTCTGTAAGTTGCATCCATTAGTGGCACTACTTCAATTTCTCCTTTTTCATTCGGTTACATGCAGAATCAATAAATAACAACATTACACTGTACACATTTATTATACTCCCTCCGTTTGGAAAAAGTGTTCCTAGTTTGACTTGGAACCAAAATAAAGAAGTGTAAAATTATAGTTGACTTCCAATTTTGTCCCTGATGTGATGGGTAAAAGTAAGATGTAATGGATAGATTATTAAAGAAAAAGTATGATATGATAGATATGGTATGAAAAAGTAAGGGTAAAAGTAGTTTTTTTAATAGAAAGTGGAAGTGTTTTGTTGGAAGTAGAAAAAAATAAAAGAAGAAGTGTTTTTGAGAACGGAGAGAGTATTATACATACGAGCTTCATTATATATATATATATATATATATATATATATATATATATATATATATATATATATATATATATATATATATATATATATATATATATATGGTCGTCGTCCTTGCTTGGTTTCTTAGTTTTGATTCTTCATTCCTAAATTTTTTTGGTGGAATTTTGAAGGAGGCTCCAGAATAACCATTTGAATGGTACTATTCCCAAGTCATTAATCACGCTCTACACGCTCGAAGAGCTGTAAGTAATTAATATGGCATTAATAAATTGACGTAATTAACATTCATATATCTTCCTAATATATAATGCATATCATAATTAATTAGTATATGGTTTAATTAATTTTCAGGGATCTTAGCAATAACAAGCTCACTGGTCCCATTCCTACCGAATTGGGTGAAATTACTGGTTTGAACAAAGCGTACGCACACTTCTTTGTTTTTTTTTTTCATTTGACCAATTCAAAGGGGTGTTAAAGCATGGGTCTTTGGCCCTGTTTGGCATCAACGTCAGAGATTAGCGTTATAGTTTTGAAAAAGCTATCCGACGGTAGCCTTTAGCGTTAGCGTTTTCAGAATTAATCTGCACCGTTAAAATTTTATCCAAAACGCTAACGCTAATAGAAAAAGCTGTTACCAAACAAAGCCTTTCTCCCGTACCCAACCAAATGGGACCTCCATTAAATGGCTGCCACGTGGAATTATTATCATGTCATGCTCTTCGTGTCATTTTAATTTTCAAAAATTAGATATTGACTTGTGTTTCCTTCCTCTGCTAACTCCTTAAAATCGTTGAGTGATTTTCATTAACTTGTTGCCTCCGTGTTTTTCTTTTTATAAAAAATCATTCAAAATATGAATGAAGCATGGACTTTATTTTCAAAATATGCGTGACATATTTTTTTCTTTAAAATAAAAATTTATACTTTAACAGTATGACACTGTATATTGTCATTACAAAATATAATTTGATATTATATGTCAAAATTATTGATATTGTAAATCTTATTTTAAAAATAAAAATATGGCGCTTCTATTTTAGTGCACTCTCTACGTTTTAATCCTACTCTAATCTTTTTCTTTAGTTTTTCGCTATGTTTTCTAATTAAAAGCAAAGTTAAATTAATAAAAAGTGTGATAATTCAGCTCTCTCGTGGTTTGGAAAATAAATGCAAATAACATTTCTATTTTGAAAACTTATTTCTAAGTTGCCTATGGTTTCCAAACATTGCAAATGCACACCTTTGACTCATTCATCGTTTTGAGATCCATGAGAGCAAATTCGTCCATTCTCAATGAATCTAAATAGTCCACTTTGACACTGTTTATATCGGCTTTTAGCAAATTATTAACTTGATTTATGGGCTCCTTAAATTGAACTCTTGTTTCTCCGCATATAATGGGCTTTCTATGAGGCCCCGTTTGGTATATGAAATTCAAACTATGGAATTGAAATTGAGGACTTCAAATCTAATTCTGGTGTTTGGTAACACAAAAATTGTGTGGATTTAGAATTGATAGTGCAAAAAATGAATTAGAATTGGTAGAATTCAATTCTATGGAATTAAATCACATGAAATTTCAATTCTAATTCAATTCAAATTCCACTAATTCCTTGTACCAAACGAACCCTGAATCTTTTTAGAGAATGAAATTGAACAAATAATATAATACCCTCTTTGTTTTTTACATGAGTAAGATTAAGAGTATATCTCAAGAGTTGGATTATGCTTCATGATTTCATTTAATACTTAATACTTTCAATTTGAAAGAACCTAACCTCCAAAATAACCTTTTTTAGGTGTCATCTGTTTAATTGTTTTCCTTCTTTCAAAATTCCCATGAAATATATATAGATTATTCCCTCATCCCAAAAATAGTTCCTCTATTACTATTTCAAGATTATTATTATAACTTTTTTTTAATTTATATAGCTCTATAAATCATTTGGTATAATAATATAGTTATTTCAACTCTTGCTTTGTACTCGTAGAATTTTAAATGCTTTTAAAATTTATACGTTTTTTGCCTTTTAGTTATATCACAAACTTGCGAATACGTATGATAATTTCTTTTAGGGAGGAGAGCATATTATTTATAAAACTCTTTGTCTTTGACAATAAGCTAAGCACCCTAATTGCATCCTATTAGTAAAATATATTTATTTCCATGTCTCAGAAATTTGTCAGGCAATTGTCTCGATGTGGAAGGGAATTCCTTAAAATCTGATACCAGGTAACTCCATCCCATATTAATTTGTTCCACCCTATATCATTTGGGTGAAGTACCGTCATAGCAATAATATATACTTAAATTACCCAATATAACACTGCTATGAGATATTGAGACTCGTATGGAAGCAATTGCAAATTTGCCCTTGCATTATACACTGCCAAAAAAATGTGTTTAAGTTGGTATACACTTCCTGAACATGGGCATAACACTTCCCTTCATTCACAATATAACATGTATCCACAACGCCAAAAAGTGTGTGTCTGTCTATACACACACACGAGTATTTCTTATGTATCATTTGGTTTCCACCTCTTTTGCCTTTCAAAATTAACCATTCATTTCAAAAAAATGTGAGCCATATTGTTTAAATCTCATCTACATAAATGTATCTCACACAATTCAACATTGCTTATATTTTGTATAGAAAAATATTAAGTCTTCCGAAGATCGAGGAAGTGTATAATTTTTTTTAAATTAATATTGCATGATTTTTTTTATTTAATTCTATGTGTTTTAAGTAATTAATGAAGCTTGATTTTTTTTTCTATTTTAGGTTTATCTTGGATAGCAGTCGTGACCCAACACGTTGTGCTTGAACAACGTAACGTAACTATAATATGATCGTTTTGTGTTTTGTTTGAGTATGTGCACCCATCCAATCTATTTGGATGTTGTTTAATGATAAATAAGTTCTATGTGTGAGAACTTGTAACAATTAATGTATCTACTCATCATGTCATCACTTTATGTTTAGTTAATAATGTGTATTCTGTGTTAATTTTTATTGGGATGATCTTTGATCAAATTATGTTTGGCTATAATCTTCCAGTCTGCAGTTGTAATTTTAATCTTTTGTTTAAATTATTACATTTTATGTTTAAATTTAATTGAGTAAAAAAAGTACCAAGCCAATTGAACGTTTTCTATCGAAAGACTTATGTATAGTATCAACGACTCTGGGTATAGTAGGCCTATGTCCAGTTGACATTGGACAAAATTACTTGGTACTTCAAAATAAATTTCTAATTCATTTTGTTAAAAATAACCATTATTGAATTATGATACTCGTATTAAACTTGATCACATCTATGCACAAAAAAAACTTTGATTCATCATCACATACATTCTAAGTAGGTGTGGCATACACACACACACACACACACACACACACACACACACACATATATACACACACACACATATATATACATACATATACATACACACACACACAGATATATATATATATATATACACACACACACACACACTACCTTTGTCCCTAAATATTTGCAACGTTTGCTATTTCAGCGTTACAGGAACTTTTGTTTATTTCTACGTTTTCATTGGTTATTTGATAAAACAAAATGATAGGAAAATATAGAAGAATGCTTTTCTGTATATTTTTCGTCTGTGAAGAGATACACGACCCTAGTATTTAAGTTAATCAAGGAAACCTAAAATGAGTAAGTTACCAAATAAGGTCCTAAATGATATCCATGACTTGGCCCCTACCTTGTACATGCGCATGGATATTTATCACTAGGGATGGCAACGGGTCGGGTTCGGGTCGGATAGTACTATACCCGAACCCGACCCGACTTTAAAAACCGAAACCCGAACCCGACCCGAAACCCAACTTTTTAAGCCAAAACCCGAACCCGACCTGAACCCGACATTCCAACCAGAAACCCGAACCCGACCCGAACCCGACTTTTAACTAATAATCAATTCGGTGTACCCCAATAATTTTAAAAAGATTACATCTAATTTTTTTTGTGTCTCATTTTTTTATTAAGAAATTATAAAAAATGATTATAAAAGGCATATTTGATATAGTAGTACTTTGTCAAGAGATTATACGGAGTACTCATTATATCCATAAATAGGCTTTTATGTTATAAAATATTCGGGTTTGAGTTGGGTCGGGTGCGGGTCGGGTCGGGTAAAATAATAAACCCACACCCGACCCGACCCGATGTCTGGTTCGGGTAAAAAATTTCGGGTCGGGTTCGGATTATTTTATTCTCGGTTCAGGTTCGGATATTTTAGTGGTCGGTCGGGTCGGTTAAACTCGGGTTTGGGTTGAATTGTCATCCCTATTTATCACCTTACATAAATTGTAACACCCCAACTCAAATAACCCGACTACCTAGATTATTTGGGCCGGAGTAGTTACCATGATGGTAATTTCGCATGATAATTTAAGGATTAATTTAAAACCAATTAAACTTTAATATAATGAAAACCTCAGATATTAAATTTCAGAGTAATGTTAAAGCAGTACGGAAGCTTAAATATAAAATATATCAAGTCATATTACATTTTCTGGGAACTCGCCCGAAAAGGTGTTTATTAAAATAAAGCATAGTAAATTGTGTCCACTAGTCCGTACATCTCGTCACTCTCATTGACCTCCGGGATGGGCTCCATGCTCAGTATTATTACCTGCGTGTAGCAAGTAAAACAAACTACACGCTCAGCGTCAGCAGAGGAATACGCTAATACAACAATTCCAAATTGAATAGCAAGTAGACATACAATTATTCATGATATGACATAATATAGCATGTATGTTCAAGATGATGATAATAATACGTATTTGATGTCACACACAATCATGATGATTGTACTGATGATGATTTCATGTTGTATGATTCTAACTAGCAAGGACGACCCTTGCGCTATGAGATTCGCCCATTGGTACGACGAACTCACGCCGCCTTAGTCTCACGAGGGAGACTAGAAAAAATAGGGGTGGTACTCGAAAGCCTGAATACCATGTACGTACACTAAGCCCGAAACTGGGATGTCGGACTAGTAAGTCCCGCACAATCACGCTATAAGAGACGCACTAGGCATGATCTCTTACGCATGCATATGATGTGATATGCTACAACATGTATGATGATATGAATCGTATGATATGAACAATTTGTAAACAATATGAATATGTAATCATACATTAATTCATTTGGGTGAAACATGTTAAAAAATATCATTTAAATAAGCTGCGGGGCTCGGAACGGTCGACCGTTTGGCGAGACGGTCGACCTTGATCTTCATCCGGTCGGATTGGCGAAACACCGTGACGGTCGACCGCGGTTGACCGGCGGTCGACCGTTGTTGACTGGGCGAGCACGGCGGTCCTCGGCTGGGCAGGCGGCGGTCGACCGTTTTCCACCGGCGGACGACCGTTTGTCTGACAGCCGTGGTCCGTTTTGATGTTTAACGCGACGGTTGACCGTTTACGTCGACCGTTCGGGTCTGCAAATCTTAATTTTGATATTTTTGGACGTCTAAAATACTTCTTTAAGTCATTTTAACACTTAAGAGTTACATATCTATGTATTTGAAATATTCCTAACACTTATATCTTCATGTATGGAAGAGTATCAAGAAAACATATTTTTAACTTTGTGAGTTTGATGAATTTGAACTAAAAACATAGATGACTTATAATATGACAATCAATCCTAACGATATATCTAGATTAATATTCAACCAAGGATTGTGTTACTAGGGTGCATTGTACTCACCTTGATATCGTAGAGGTCGGAATGATGGAAAGAAAATAATACGCCTCAACGAACGTTCAACGTACGGTCACCCCTATCAACTTCAAGCTTTCGATGCCCAAACTTCTTCGAAATAATCTCCGGAAGTTCCTAATAACCACGAGAGAGTTGACGGTAAGTATTTGGAAAGAAACGATGTGAAAATGATGAAGAAACATGGCCAACCCGAGGAGCTTGCCACCACTGGAGCAGTCCCGGTATTTTGGCCATATCTCCTTCGTTACTTAACGAAATCACGAACCGTTTGTTGGGTTGGATTCGTAACGTCCGGGGCTACGATTTTGGTATAATAAATATTTATAGAAAAAGGATAGAAAATTACAGAATTGACGATGAAGTTGCTGCTGCGTTTTGGACTCAAGATTTGGAAACCTTGATACTTCTTCTTGTTTCTCCTTCTCCTTTCTTGGCTCAACAATGGAGTATTTTTGTGTTTTCTTCCTCCTGAGTTGCTGCCGACAGGGAGAGAAAGGAGAGGGGATGAATGATGGATGGATGATGGTGATAATGTATGAGGATGATGGTGGTGGTGGTAGGGTGATATTATAGGAAAAGTAATTTGGAGGTATGTGTTAGTGACTTAGTGGGGTTCCTAAGGTGGTATGATTGAGGATTGGAAGGGATAGGGAGGATGTCTCTACGTGATTTGGAGGTTTTTGGGAATCAAAATTATCCTCCTACTCCGTAACTGATAAACTGACTAAAACGGTACGCGCTTTTTTGCCCAAACTGTTCCGAATTGAAAATGAATCGCATATTTGGAATCAGACTGTCAAAACTAAAATTTTGATATAATTAAAATATTTTTCTGAAAACTTTTATTTTTCAGTGTTTGGGTCTGTCTCAGTCATAAATTAATATTTAAATTAATTAATTCTTTTAGGCCTAAATTTGGGGCGTTACATAAATACTTTACAATCATAAAGGTAATAAACAATTACAACACAATTAATCTGTAACACCCCCTCCCTCAAGTTGGAGCATGTAGTAGACAAACGCCCAACTTGGGAAGTAGCGCTTTGAAACGTCCTTTGCCAAGAGCCTTTGTGAGAATGTCCGCACATTGAGAGTGAGTGGAGACATGGGAGGTACGAATGGAACCTCGTAATAACTCATCGCGGATAAAATGACAATCAATTTCAATATGCTTGGTGTGCTCATGAAAGACATGATTCGCAGCAATGTGAAGAGCTGTCGTACTCTCACAATAAATAAGCATCGGAGAAGTGATTAACACCCAAAACCCGCAGCAGACCGCGTAACCACTTGAGTTCACATGTGAGGACTGCCATTGAACGATATTCAGCCTCCGCCGAAGAGCGTGCCACTGCACAGTGGGTTGTTTCTTTGTTTTCCACGAAACCAGAGAAACACCCACCTGAACAAACCAACCTGTTAAGGAGCGTCGAGTGAGGGGGCAAGCTGCCCAATCGGAATCACACCAACCAGTCAATTATAGAGAACTGTCAACTCGTAAAAGAACACCTTGTCTTGGGCTGCCTTTAAGATAACAAACCACCCCTAACGCAGCATACCAATGATCAAGCCGCGGGGCCTGGAGGAATTGAGCCAAAGTATGCACTGCATATGAAAGATTTGGACGAGTGACTGACAAATATACCAATCGGCCAACAAGACGACGATAAGCGCCTGGGTCATCAAACAGCGACGCGGAGGACAAAGAGAGCTTATGATTCGGCTCAATAGGCGCACCCAGCGAACGACTACCAAGCAAACCTGTCTCAGTTATAATATCTAGAGCATACTTGCGTTGGCTCAAAAAATACCTGTTGAATTTCGAGCCACTTCTATACCCAAAAAATATTTTAACAACCCCAGGTCTTTCATGTGAAAACATTCAGACAAATACTTCTTGAAGCGTGCAATTTCAATAGGATTATCACCGGCAATAACTAAGTCATCCACATAAATCAAAACGTGAATAGTGAAGCCAGGCCATGTAAATGAAAACAAAGAATGGTCTGAGTGAGACTGAGTGAAACCATACCGCCGTAAGGCGCCAGAGAGTTTGGCAAACTAACAGCGAGGTGCTTGTTTCAGGCCATAAAGAGACTTTCGTAATTTGCATACCATATTCAGAGATTGAAGGTGAAAACCATGTGGGAGTTTCATGTAGACCTCATCAGACAAATCTCCATGGAGAAAGGCATTATGGATATCCATCTGATGTAATTCCCAATTTCGTACAGCAGCCACCACCAAAAATACTCGCACAATGGTAATTTTAACAACGGGAGCAAATGTCTCATTGTAATCAATGCCCTCAACTTGGTGATTGCCGAGAATGACAAGACGCGCTTTGTAGCGTTCGATCAAACTGTCAGATTTGCGCTTGATACGATAAACCCACTTGCATCCCAAAGCATTTTTATGATTAGGCAAAGGAACCAAACGCCATGTATTATTATTCTCGAGAGTACTAATCTCTTCGGCCATAGACTTGCGCCAGGAAGGATTTTGAACTGCTTCCTTATAGAATTGCGGCTCGTGGTCAGCATCGACAGCGGCTAAATAGCTCTTGTGATGGTCAGAAAACCGGGTGTAACCAATAAAGTCAAACAGAGGATACTTACACGATATATTTTCTTTGACCGTCGTGTAGGTGTAGTAATCGTGAAGCCGAACATTGGTAGTTTTCTGACGATGACCACGACCCAAATTAACATCGGGGTTGAGCGGCTACGGAGGGGATGCTGCGGTAGAGAGACAATAGGCTGGGGCTGTTAAGATTGCACTCCTTTGGAAGCACCTGTGCCGCCGGCAGAGAGCAAGAGAAGGACGGCTAGGGGAGTTAGGGTTTTAGAGAACACAAAGAACAAGGAAATTATGTCTAACTAAATCACTTTCATTCATAACTCTTTCAATAGCCGGACGTAAATTATAAATAGAGAATGAAAGTAACCCTAGCCCTGTCGGTTCAAGAAAAGCATCGAGGTAAAGAACCGAAAAGAAACCCTCAAAGGAGCTTATAAATCGCTCACCTAAAGAAAATCTAAAAGTACAACGATATATGAAATTAAATAACATAAATAAAATTCTTAAACGTAATCACGAAGTCGGGCCGGTGGTCTAGACGCCCGGCCCGAACGTCTTGGCTCTCGTTGTATTCCTGGGCTTTCCACGCGCTCCAACACCTGGCCCTCTTGACGGGCCGTATCAGGGGCAGCGGCTGTCTGGGCGAGGAGGACGGGGTCTCCCTTTGTGCAGAAGAAGGTGTGGCGTCAGGATTGTTGGCTGAACCAGTACTGGCCGATTTTTGAGTTTGCAAATTCCTTGGAGCAACATTTTCATCATCATCATCCACGTACAAAAAAGATGATGTAATGGCAGCAGAGGATTGAACTAACATGGACTCCTGAAAAGGAAATACATCTTCACAAAAAATGACGTCACGAGAAATTATAAATTTACCCGTATCACGACAATACACCCGCCATCCTTTCTTTCCAAAAGGATATCCAATAAAAACCCCCGGTTGGTTGCGCGATTCAAATTTATCACCACGACGATCTTGGTTATGAATGTAACAGAGACAACTAAGAACCCGTATGTGAGACATCACTGGTGCTTTCCCAAACAATTTTTCATAAGGAGTTTTTCCGTCTAACAATACGGACGGAGTACGATTAATGAGATAAGCAGCAACAAGAATACATTCACCCCAAAATTCAATGGGTAAAAACCTTGAAAGCGAAGCGCACGAGCAACATTTAAAATATGTTGATGTTTGCGCTCAACCTTTTCATTCTGTTGAGGCGTGGCTATACAAGAACATTCATGTGGGATTCCATGCTCACAAAAATAAGGATCACGACACTCAAATTCGGTTCCATTATCACTTCGTACCGTTTTCACTGGAGTTTTAAATTGACGTTCAACCATAGCACAAAATTGGCGAAATATTAAGGAGACTTCAGATTTAGCACGCAAAAGATATACCCAAGTCCCCCGAGAATAATCATCCACAATAGTAAGAAAAGACTTGAAACCTTCCATACTCGGTGTCCGATAAAGACCCCAAACGTCAATACGAACAATCTCAAATAACTTTGTAGTTTTAGTAGTACTCAATGGAAAACTGGCACGAGACTGTTTAGCACGTAAACAAATAGAGCAAGGAGCTTTATTCAAAATACTAGTTTTATGGTCACTAGCTAAAGGAAATAATGACAAAACTTTTGCCGAAGGATGTCCCAAACGCTGGTGCCAAAGGTCAAAGGAGCATTCTTTTGCTACCAACATGGCATCTCCATTTATTGATTGCTGGAAAAAATATAAACCATCACTTTGTCTACCCGCACCAATCACCTGCATCGTGGCACGGTCTTGTAAAACACACAACGGGCCATCGAATTTAACCAACTAATTAGTCTCTGTAATGAGCTGAGAGACTGAGATCAGTGCACAACTTAGATCAGGGACAAACAATACGTTATTCAAGATCACAGTATTATTCAACCGGACGCGACCGGCAGTGGTCGCTGCTACTCGCTTCCCATCAGGCAATCGAATCCAACACCCTGGGATACTATGTGTATCAAAAAGACTATGAAGATCTCCAGTCATGTGATTTGTGGTGCCAGTGTCAATGATCCAAGTTTTAGTAAGAGGAATACCTGACAACTTTTCTAGTGACCCGTCTTTAACCGATGCAAGCAAGGCACAAAAGGTGTCCCATTGTTCGGAGGTCAGTGAAAGGACTGTGTCAGATGAGGAGGGTGGTTCCTGCCCGTTGCTCCAGTGGTGGTCGCAGCATGCACAGCATGCGCTGTGGTGGTACGGGCAGTGGCAGCCCCTCATCCATTTCCTCCGCGTCCTCGACCACGTCCACCTCCTCCCCGTCCATGTGCGCCCAGCCTTCGGGATACCCGTGTAATTGATAACACGAGTCTTTATCATGGCCAATTTTCTTACGATAGCCGCATGTCATTATTTTATCTCGAGACCCATCAAAGTTTGTACCACGAACAGCAAAGGCGGCATTCTCCGGGCGTTCACGAACCTGAGTTACCCGGGCTGTCTCTTCTTGTGTCAACACGCGGTAGACACGAGCTATTGATGGGAACAGCTCTTGGGACAAAAGCGTAGAGCGAAGATGGCCAAAATGGCATCATCAAGACCCATTAGGAATTGATGAACTTTTTCGTCATCCCTTCTTTTCCCCAACTGCTGGGCGGTATTGCACGTGCATTTTCACACGTACAAACAGGGAAGGGGTCTATGTCATTGAGGTCATCCCACAACCTGCTCATGTTTCCGTAGTAAGCGGCAATGCTTAATCCCCGCTGATCACAAGACGTCAATTCACGTTTAATTTGCTGAATTTGTGGTCCATTAACAACCGAGAATTGTGCTTTGGTGTCCTCCCACAATTCGCTCGCCATCTCCATGTGTGAAATAGTAGTTCGAAGAGAAGATTCGATCGTGTTCCGTATCCACGAAACAAGCAAGGAATTGTTCGTCCACCAATCTTCAAGGTCATCCGAATCAGACGGTGGTTGCGGAATGGACCCGTCAACGAAACCGAACTTCTTGCGGGCTCGAAGAGCGGTTCGTATAGCACGTGCCCACTCCTCGTAATTTTCTCCTCTCAAAACGACTTGCGTAATGATCAATCCAGGATTATCATTCGCATGAAGGTCGTATGGAGAAATCGTGCGCCGCTGCGGAGCATCATCCGTAGCTTTCTTCTTGTTTGCCGTAGACGGTGTGTCGGAAGACATGGCCTGCGATTCCTTAGCAAAGGCTGCCGATCAGAGTATACGATCGGAAAAAAATGGAACGTCAAGGCTCCGATACCATGATAGGAAAATATAGAAGAATGCTTTTCTGTATATTTTTCGTCTGTGAAGAGATACACGGCCCTAGTATTTAAGTTAATGAAGGAAACATAAAATGAGTAAGTTACCAAATAAGGTCCTAAATGATATCCATGACTTGCGCCCCTACCTTGTACATGCGCATGGATATTTATCACCTTACATAAATACTTTACAATCATAAAGGTAATAAACAATTACAACACAATTAATTCGTAACATAAAATATTCTTGACACCTCTTATTTCGAAGAACTTTTCATGTAGTTTTTTATATGTAAATTTTATTTTATATTTCTATACCAATTTGTAAATAAAATGAATTGAAAAAACTTGATATTTTGCCTCAAGAATATAAGTGTGGCAAATATTTAGAGACGGAGGAAGTTTAAAATATGAATGTCATTAGCTTGTGAGTGAATTTCCTTTTTCATTCAAGAACTAAATCTACTACTAGAGTATACGCACCATCCCTATAGAGATCTTGCCCAAAACAAAATTGTCTCACTTGAGTTGCTTGAAACACAAAATCAATAGGCCACATTCTCGCCATTTTTTATTTTGATTGACATTCTCGCCAATTGATTCGTTGAATTTGATGTATGGCAAGAATGAACTTGAAATTTTGGGTATCTCATAAAGTGGGGGGACACGGCATTGATCTTGTTCGTGTTCTAATTCTAAAACCACCGGTTTTAGTACTCATTTTAAGTGTATAATTGGTTCCAAACTCGTTCATTGATAGTAAATTTTATGTATCAACCTCAAACGAATTGAAACCATAAAAACAAAAAAAACAAAAAAAGTAAATCAGTATTCGCTCTGATTGATTTTGGTACCAAAAATTGAAAATCGAGCTAGAACCTTTAACCGACGGTTCCTATATTCTAAGACCGTTGATTCTTATTCCGAATTTTCGGTACCGATTTGGAATCAGAACCATGAAAGAAGTATTAATTAGAATGTATGGAGTAACTAGTTTTTCTCCCTAACTACTGCTCTACTAGAGTGTAGAGAGTATCTAACTACGGAGTTCATAGTATTACTTAGTAAGTAATTAATTAAGTACCATTAATATACAAATACCCAAAATATACTTTAATATCTAATCTAGTGAAATTTGCACTAAATAGTACTAAAACATAATGACTTTCCTAATCTAGGACTTAAACTTTTTTATTCCCTAAATAGGACTTAATAATGACCTAGTGGGAGGAATAATGTCCAGTAATGCTAGACATTTACTTGAATAATGACTAGTTGATAATGACCAAAAGTCCTACATTGGAAAATAAAAACATATGGTCCTATATTAAGAAAGTCATTATGTTTTAGTCCTATTTAGGTAAATTTCTCTCTAATCTAACCCTCACTATTAACCTTATCTCACTCAGCGAGCCAGCGGCCGCCTCATCACAACCCACCGCCAATTATACAACTTGCCGTCGCCTCCACTACTGCCCGCCATCCTATTAATGTTTGTTTTTGCAGTTTAATACTAATAATGTATTACAATGTAATATGTGTTAATACTTATAAATACGAGTAATAAATATATACTATTTATAATACTTTATTCGTCCCTAAATATTTGTCACACTTGTATTCTCGAGGCAAAATATCAAGTTTTTTCAATTCATTTTATTTACATATTGGTATAGAAATAAAAAATAAAATTTACATATCAAAAAAACTACATGAAAAATTCTTCGAAATAAGAGGTGTTAAGAATATTTTATTTTATCAAATAACTAATGAAAACGTAGAAATAAACAAAAATTCCCACAATTGCTGAAAAAGCAAATGTTACAACTATTTTGGGACCGAGGGAGTATAACTAATGCTTCACAGATGTATAAATAGGGGTATGCAATATACGATCTAGACCGGGACCGTGACCTACTCTAAACTTGGTCAAAGCCAGATCGGGCAAGTCCCTTTTGAACTTTTTTTTTTTACTCCCTCATGTTCACAAATAAATTTCTCGTTCACTAGTCACAGGGTCAAACTTTAACTTTGTTGACCTATTTTTGTCACTCATTTGATAAAATAATATAGTCATGTCATCTCTAGTTTTGTATATCTTTTGATATCGTTTTTTAATATGTACTCCTTCCGTCCGGATTTTAAGTTCCCATTCTACGCTTTTCTCCGTCCGGATTTTAAGTTCCCATTCTACGTTTTAATACCTATTCTTCCTAAAATACCCTTCTATCTCCCTTTCCCGTCCTTGTTTTCATTTTTGTTTCTCGACAATGTCTTCTCCGCTTCTCCGCCAGGTACTCTTTCCTCGACGTCCCTAAATAAACTTCATCTTTCGTTTTTTCTTTGTCCCCAAATAAACTTCTCTTTTCCCTTAAAAAAACCTCTTTTACTCCTTACTTTTTCATACCCTACCTATCACATCATACCTTTTTACTAATAATCTACATATCACATCTTACTTTTACACATCACATCAAGGGTATTTTTGGAAAGTCAACACAAAAATATCCCTCCCTTAAATCCTCAAAAAGTCAAAAATGGAAGTTTATTTAGGGACGGAGGGAGTATGTATTAACCTTTGATTTATCATTAATAAAAATTATATGTTAAATTATTTAGAAAAGAAAAAATTTGAAAAAATGATACAGAATAAATCTAATAAATTATTTTATATCAATATATAATACAAGTAACAATTCTATTTAATTACAAGTAATTAATAGTTATAATTTGCATTTTTAACTGTATAAATTTAAAACTGGACAAATAATTCAGAATACTACCCCCATCGTAGAATATTTATCCAATCCTTTTGATGTCAAAATCGATAAAATTTTATCATTCACTGGTCAAAACTTTACTTTCTTTATACATTTTCATCGATGATTTGATAAAATTAAATGACTTTATCACCACTTGTTTGTAGAACTTTTGATATAATTTTTGATAATATTTTTAGTCAAATATCGTAAACCGAACAAAAACTTATTTTTGGACGAAGAGTAAATTTTAGGACAAAGATTGATGAGGAATGCTTGAGACACAAACAACTTGGACACGAACTTCACAAACTTACTATTTATGTATTTAAATTTTTATTTTTTAAATTATTTAAAATTATTTTATTTACTTGGGAAAGTATACAAATAGTAAATCGGTAGGCGAATGCATGTTTACTATTACGGGGGCACTTGCCCCCAGTCAAATTCTAATAAGAAAGACTTTATATAAAATTTCAGTTGATAAATTAATCTTTTCTTGATTAAAAAAACGTTGCTCCCATTAATTTTGTTTTAAATTGACAACGCCCCCACTCATTTTTCAAAAAATGGACATAGCTTCTACTTTTACACGGTATCTTTTGGGGAGTATGTATTTTTTAGGTGCAGAGAAGAAGATTTTAATCATTGATGCTAATTTTTTTTTATTTCAATTACTCCTCCACTGAAATTGTTTTCTCATTCCGGTTTACAAACTTTGACTATAATTATTTTTAATTATTTGATTATATGTGTAAAATTAAAAATAAAATTTATATATTAAATGCTATATAAAAATCTATAAAATAAGAGTTGACATGACTATATTATATATGAAATATGTAGTCAAAATAATCAAACAAAGTAAATAAAGTTTAACAGTGTAAATAACACTGTATATGAGAAAAGCACTTCCAAACAAATGGATCGGAGTAGTACGTTGAAGGTTTTTTTTTGAAAATTAAATTGATGTATAAATTCTAAAATTACAATGACCTTTTTTATGCTCTTTAACATTTTCATGTTACATTTAAAAAAACACGCACTGGTTTTCGTACTAAATCAAAAGTTCTTGGATACAGTTTGGTAATGGTACTCTGTAGTTTGAGTCCAAATTGTTTGTAACTCTAGCATTATTTAAGATTGATTTTAATTGACAATAAGAATTCAAAATTGAACAAATAGGAAATACTCCAAAAAAGGTATGTAGTGCAAAATGTGAATGTGACACTACTCAACGTGGGCGTGGGGTAGGGATATAAACAAATCAAATATTTTAAATTTGTTCCGTGATTTGTATTTGAATATAATGATCTGAATTCGCACAATTCATATACAAATTCAAATTAAAATGTTAATTTTGATTCGAATATTAAACAAATACAAATAGAGGCGTATCCGATTCAGATATTATTCGAATATATATATACAGATCATGTTTTCAACATCAGTAGTCAAGAAAATTATTATAGTATAAAATCCATTTAAATTACTAAGATTTTGTGAATTTAATGTAACACAAAATTTAAAGCATATGATTTTTAATAGTTATATAATATATAATTTGTGTAAGACGCAAATGTATAAATTGTTAAGAAATCATCTTAAATAGGACTAAAACATCAAAAAGTACGGAGTACTAAAATAGGAGTTTCATGTTTTTTTCTCTTTAAATATGAGTTGTGGTAATGTGGGATTGTACATGAGCATTTTACGTAATGTACATGGTCATGTTTGATAATGTAAATACATTTTAACTCTTATTTCAGACATAAAAATATAGAACTCCTATTTTGACATATTGTCAATGTTTTACTCCTACTCGAGTCTTTTTCCTTTAATTCTTTAAGACATAGTATAAGAAATGTTATAAGATAAATTATTTAAAATCAGCATATATAGTACAAAGTATGATTATTTAAATACATTTAGGACTCATTAAATATTCGAATATTAATCAAATACAAATACAAATTTTACTTTAAATTTGTTTCATATTGGAAAGAATTACACAGTTAAAGTTCAAACATTCAGTATTAAATTCGATTCGATTCATTTAGAATGGTAAGGTGGAGAGAGAAACAAAAGAGTAAAAAAGACAAGTAGGGAAGGAAGAGTGAATGGGCAAAGAAAGAAAGCATTGACTGGGTGTGGGGAGTTAGGAGGAGGAGCACACCCGCGCCCCGCCGTCACCTGCAACCCCGTTTCTCTTCTCTAGGATTACACCGTTGAATTTTCCTCCCACTCCCTCCCTACAAATTCATCTCTCTCTCTTTCTCTTTCGGCATCTAGGACTCTCCTGCCAAGCGAACGAAATTCGGGTTACTTTTCCACGGAACATCGTCTCCTTGAGCTGACTTATGCTGCCCCTTTAGCTTCGGGTTCGCCCATCTGATTCTTGATTTTAGACTTTTCAAATTAGGGATTTTGACCGTTTCTTCCGAGTCAAAGAGCTAAAGATGCTCGAGAAGGGAAATCTCGGGTTTTAGGCAGATGGGAATCATGGATCGGAGGGTTTCTGCCTCTGCTGTTCTGATATTATGCCTCTTCTTGCCCTTTCTTCTTCTGCTGGTCTCTGGCAACACCGAAGGTCGGTCTGTTCTTTTGGTTCCCTTTCAGTTTTCTACTTTTCTTATCCATGATTTGAGCATGATGATGATGGGATTTTTTTTTTCATTTTTCTATATCGGTTATGATCAATACATACATCTCCTGTTCGCTTTGAATTGGTCAAAATCAGATCTTTATTCAGGAATTCGGTGTAATGTAGCAGGAATGATTTATCCTGCTCATTCTTGAACTAGCAAATGTGCTGGGAAATGTTTGAAATTTTGAAACATGAGATATTGAGTTCATGAGTTGTGTAGTAATTACTATATGCCTAAAGGATATCAGCTGATAATTATTAGGCCATTTGTATAAGACAGGTGATGCTTTGAATGCACTGAAAAGCAATTTGGCTGATCCCAACAATGTTCTTCAGAGCTGGGATCCAACCCTCGTCAATCCCTGCACCTGGTTTCATGTTACCTGCAGCACTGACAATAGTGTGACAAGAGTGTAAGCTTTTCTAAGAGAAATTATGCCCTAAATTTCATCAATATGTGTAACTTGATTTGTCCTTTTAGACATTCATGTTCGTGTTCACTTTTAGTGATCTGGGAAATGCAAATTTGACGGGTCAACTGGTTCCACAGCTGGGTCAGCTTCCTAATTTGCAATACTTGTAAGTCTTTTGACCTTTTTTTGGGCATGTATCATGCTTTGCAAGTATTTCTTTTTCAGCTTATGATGTTGAAAATCTTGTTTTGTAGGAGTATATTTTTCTAGTTTCATTTCTATTAACATTGTCATTTGTGTTACATAAACTTGCTAACTTATTGGCTGTTATTTATGTACTGTAAGTAGTGTATGCCTTTTCATACCCCATTTTCCCCACAGCTTCATTTCAATGTTCTTGCACACTAAATCAAGAAGAAATGAATAGAGATGGAATCCCAAATCATTGTCAATTTTTCTAGCTATCTGTATAATAATATGTAAAGTCTTATTCTTATGTGCTATGAATCTATATTTAGTTAGTCCAGTGAGTAGTGACCATATTAGCCATTTATATCTTTATGCATTGCATTTTCACTTACTAAATAGTAAATAGAACAAGCTCATAAATGCTAGTTGTAGATTACAATACGTATGACAAGTGTTGCTTTTTTCTTTTTCTTTTTTTTTCCGTAATACCTTAAGTCCATTATATCCCACTCAATAGTAAGGTCTTGTTGGGTAAGATGGTCGCAGTCCTTACCTCTAAATCTCTAACAGTCTAACCAAAGGAGTAGAATGACTATTTCCGAGATGGTTTTGATGAAAAATGAAATAAACTACAACATTAACGTCTATACCATTCACACGTAGGCCGTAACCCTCTCATGGATTCTACAAGACTAATACTTGATATTACCTCTTTTGTGTATCCTTTGATCCCCCGTTGTTGACTTCAACGTCCTCCTAGTTCTGTTTCCCAATAAAATTGCACCACGATAAGTTAGTGTTGTAATGGCCAATGCGCAAGCCATGTGCTTTAAGTGCCGATCTCCAATGTTAAATGTTCGTTTCCATCCCTGGTTTCTCCTACCGGTGCAGTGGTGTTCGCAAATAGCAAACACTGTGAAATGCTTCCTCGGGTCACCTTGGTAATAACGTCCAAAATCTCAAGGAGGAGTGGGCTCGACAGAGATCGTTGGTGTAACCTGAATTCCACTAGAAAAAAATTGGTGTCCCCTACATTAGTCCTTGGAGTCCTAGAAAACGTTCTAAATTGTGCATATATATCTTGTACTGTCCTCACGTTCAATCTTAGCACCTCCTCTAACTCCAAGCTTGAAAAAAAACTTTTACAGGGACACTTTCATAGGCCTTCTCCAAATTTATAAATACCTTGTGCAGGTTTTACTACGCTCGCTATACTTCTTCATGAGGCGCCTTAGATGGTGAATTGGCTCAATTGCAGACCTTCCTTTTCATTAAACCAATACAGTTTTCACTCACCTGTGCCACACGTCACACCTTGGGCTCAATAACTTGTGCATCTCTCCTTCTTAATCCCTATATTGGGATCTTTTTTTCACATTTTTCTGATTATAGCTTCGGCGTATTTGCCTGCACAAGAAAGTTTATTTGATTTCCTATGGACTTTGATAACCTGTTATGATCTACACAGTCAATTTTGTTTAGCTTGGTAATTAACGGGACTATATACATGCTTTCAGGGAGCTTTATAGCAATAATATAAGTGGCAAAATTCCTGTCGAGCTAGGCAACTTAACAAACTTGATCAGCTTGGATCTCTACATGAACAGCTTGAGTGGTGTCATCCCTGACACTTTGGGAAAGCTTCAAAAACTGCGTTTCTTGTATGTGTTGCAGTTCCTTGTTTTTAGGTTTTGGGGTGTTAAATTTCATCTATTCATGAAAATATACATTAGTAACTGGGTCTGCCTTCTATTTATTTAATTGTGCTAACCTTACCCTACCCCCACCCTCACCCCCATGAAAATTTGAAGGAGGCTCAACAACAACACACTGACTGGTCGTATTCCAATGTCTCTAACCACAGTTAAGACACTCCAAGTTCTGTAAGTATAAGAGTAATTACTTATTTCAAGATCTCTATTCTCTATTATTTACTCCATCTAACAGAAGAAGAAGTGCTGCTTTTAGAACTATTTTTGACATTTCATCAAAAAATTATTTTTTCCTCGAGTCATTAGAGTTTTGCACTACTTTTGCCAAAAAATGTATTTACTCTTGAAAAAATAGTATTGATTCACAAGTAGACCTAGTGAATTATAAGATTTGTACATTACCTAACTTAAAAAGTCGTGTCTTTTGAAACACCCTTTTTTAATATTGAGGGGAGATAGTGTCGTTGTCGTTTCTGATGGAAAGTGACGCTCATTCTCATGCACAGGGATCTCTCCAGCAACCATCTACAAGGACCAACTCCAGTCAATGGTTCCTTTTCACTTTTCACTCCCATCAGGTTTGTCTTGTATAGTTTCATTTATGTGAATTTTTTTACCCATAAAGTAGAAATCTTGATTGCCAAGCGGCTATGCTCTAGTTTTGCAAATAATGCAGAATTGCAAACTCCACCAGTTTCCCCTCCTCCACCAATTTCTCCTACACCGCCTTCTTCTCGAGGTTTGTGGTAGTCATTTCTATTTTTCATTACTATTTCTTCTCAATTCCTTTTGATTTCAACTAGAAATGTGCAATATTTTGAGGTGTATGTTCATACTTTGTCCTTAAGAGTATTGCCTCCCCCCCATCCAAATTGAACAGTTATGCCCCGGGGACTGAGGTGACAACAACTTTGTTCTCTTATTACTCCATCCATACCAAATATTAGGATGCAAATGGGCGCAGCCCGCTTTTAAATTTTAAAAAAGGTCCTATTGCGCCATGCATTTGTTTAGAAAGGTCACTGTTTTGAATGTTGAAAAGAAAGAATCAGACCCACCAGATTAAAACTTGGATCTACTATGAAAGGATAAATAAAGAGATGTTCAGAAGAGTAAAAAATAGCGTTTTGTTTAGGAGAGAGCATTTTACTGAGATTGACTACAAAGGGAAGTAAACTTAATAAATTGGGATGGAGTGAATTTTCATCAGATTACTAGAAGTACTTTCAATTTTCATTGGGCACTAAGTTTCTAAAAGATTTCTAATCACTATTATTAATTGTGTACTTTCCAGGAAACAAAGCCTCAACTGGAGCCATGGCGGGAGCAGTGGCTGCAGGTGCTGCGCTTTTGTTTGCTATTCCTGCCATTTTTCTTGCGTGGCGGAGAAAAAGGAGACCACAAGACCATTTCTTTGATGTTCCTGGTTAGTAGTGTAATTAGTTGACATTAACTAGTTCTAAGTTTTAACAAGCCTCGTGATTTTGTACATAAAAACAATTTTATTCTTTTGTCAGCTGAGGAGGACCCTGAAGTTCATCTTGGACAGCTGAAGAAGTTTTCTTTGCGTGAATTACAAGTTGCTACAGACAATTTCAGCAATAAACATATACTTGGTAGAGGTGGTTTTGGTAAGGTTTACAAAGGGAGGTTAGCTGATGGGTCCTTAGTTGCTGTTAAAAGACTAAAGGAGGAACGTACACAAGGTGGGGAGTTACAGTTCCAGACAGAGGTTGAAATGATTAGTATGGCTGTACATAGAAATCTTCTCCGTTTGCGTGGCTTTTGCATGACCCCAACTGAGCGCTTGCTTGTATATCCCTATATGGCCAATGGAAGTGTAGCGTCTCGTTTAAGAGGTACTTTTTTTTTGGTTTCTTTGTCAGCGCTTCTGTATTTAAATAATGTTGATGGTTATCATTTGTTTATGGTAATTGGAATATTATCTTTTTGCAATGCTTCAATCAAGAAAGTTAACCCTAACTTTTGTTGTCTTGGGTTTAGAGAGAACTGAAGCACAGCCGCCTCTTAGTTGGCCAATCCGGAAGCACATTGCTTTGGGATCTGCTAGAGGGCTATCGTATTTGCATGACCACTGTGATCCTAAGATAATTCACCGCGACGTGAAAGCAGCTAATATCTTGTTGGATGAGGAGTTTGAGGCGGTTGTCGGGGATTTTGGGCTTGCCAAACTGATGGACTACAAAGACACACATGTTACCACTGCCGTGCGTGGGACCATTGGACATATAGCCCCTGAATATTTATCAACCGGAAAATCTTCAGAGAAAACTGATGTGTTTGGCTATGGGGTTATGCTGCTGGAGATCATAACTGGACAGAGAGCCTTCGATCTCGCTCGCCTTGCTAATGATGATGATGTTATGTTACTTGATTGGGTAAGCATTTTCCAAACTTCATTAAACATCTTGAAATATCATTTTTTTTTCATTTCTTTGATCTATCATTTCATCAACAACAAACCCAGTAAAATCCCACAAAAAAGGACTTGGATCAATCACTTATTCAACAACAAAAAAAATCAACTGAAAATGTTGAATCTATATCTTTGTTGATTGAACCAACCCCTTGTATCAGGTGAAAGGGCTTCTGAAGGAGAAGAAGTATGAGACATTAGTGGATGCAGATCTTCAGGGCAATTACATTGAAGAAGAAGTGGAGCAGCTAATCCAGGTAGCTCTTCTCTGCACTCTAAGTTCTCCGATGGAACGGCCGAAGATGTCAGAGGTTGTGAGAATGCTGGAAGGCGACGGTCTGGCGGAGAGGTGGGAGGAGTGGCAGGAGGAGGAGATTTTCCGGTCAAACGCCGCCAACCGCATGCATCATCATCATCATCCAAACTCCGATTGGATCATCCCGGATTCCACTTATAACCTCCGGCCTGACGAGTTATCCGGCCCAAGATGATGATGATCATGATAAATGAATAGGGACTGTAATTCATATACTCTGCTCTGTTTGTTTTCATATTTTGTGCATATGTAATTTTTTTCTTTCTTCCCCTTTCTTTTTATTTCTTTCTCTTTTGTTCAGAGTTGTTTGGTTTTGGTGTATTAGCAATTTTTGGTGATGTATTTCTTCTTCACGTTAAGTGGTGAAACCAATACAAGCACTTTTAATGCCCTCATCTTTGATATCAAAACCAGCATTTTGCCATTTTTCCATCATATAATATACTAACCTAAATCTTTGCTATCGTTGTTTTGTTCATTCTTCTTATCCCAAGATTTTGTTTCATTAACCAGACAACTTTTAATAAATATATTACTCCTTTCGTCTAATTTTGAGTTGTGAATGTTTGCGGTATTTGATTGAAATTAGTCTCAAATTAACTTGTTGAAAACTTAAGTTAGAATATAAAAATATTACTCCGTAATTATACGGAGTATATGTTTCAAAAAAAATATGGAGTATAATGTATCCTTTGGAATTGCATCAAAATTTTATAATATATAAACATGTCTATATTCTTTTATCGAATAAGTATAAAATAAAGTGACATGACTATATATGCTTTTATCAAAAAAGTAATGATATCTAAAATGATAAGTTTGTGACAGTTTTATTTGTGAACCTAACATTTCTCAGGGATTAGGGAAAATTGGAGTTCCTTCAATTCGCATTGATCTTCTACCACGGGCCTCCTCCAATCGCCTCTTCTGAAATTTTTAGGATTTACTTATATAAATTTTTAGGATTTACTTATATTCTTCTGTGGGATTACTTACCGTTCGGAAACTCATTGGTGATTCATTGTGGTGGATTGCGTAAAATGTTCTGAAGCTCAGTAAATGAGTCGCCTTGTTGTCCAATTCTATGGACTATCATATCATACCATGATAGCGCTAGTGTATGAGTTCATTTACGGAGTCTATTAAAACCCGCCCTCGCGGGTTACATCAGTTGAGAGAAGACCAGAACCAGACCGTGTCCACAGCAACGTATGTATTCGAAAGAACAATGGGGAAATACGTGTCTTGCGAGTAAATGTGAAAACTTAGAAGGGCGAAAGCAAGAAAAACCCCAACAAAGACAGATTAGCTTTTGTTTCCATAACACTGCAGCTGCTAGCCTGCTACTACAAACAAAATGCTACTACTATGTGTCATATAAAAAAACTTGCAGTTTTCTCCAATAGCAACAACAACAAAAAATGAGACCAAACACTTTCTGGGTCAGCTGTTCTCTAATGAAATGGTTTTTGTGTCATACATGTGTGCAAGACAGACACTTCATCATTTTCGGTTTGTCCTTGGTTTTCCTTTCACCTCGGCTTCCTGCATTATAACAAATCAAGCAAAGCCACTGCTTTATTAGTTGGAGTCATTTGAGTTTTTTTATGCAACAAATCTTTTGTAATTAAAACTACATAAAAAAACTCAGTCCCATTAACTATATTCAACTTTCTTGGCATACTTGCATTTAAAATTGATTTATATGCTGATAAAAATCAACCTCTATTTTTTTCAAAATTGACTTTTTTTCATGGGTCAAAAATATGTTTTCGGAAAGGACTTTTTTCATGGACGAACAAAAAATGACGTTTCTCATGGATCATAAGGATTAAGAACGAGCAAAAACTACCTGTGGCAGGTGCAGGAAAATGCTAGTCTTTGCTGTTGCTGGATTATGATTTTCTGCACCCTTGCTCCAATCATAACAGACCTGCGACAGCCAGCAAAGATGTTTATGAAATATTGATACAGAACATCATGTAGCTCATCAGTGCCAACGAGATAATCAGCAAGCAGGATGGAGGAAGAGTGCACTTTACCGCGTATGCATATAATGAGCCATCATGGTTAAATGTGCTGCAGGGTATAGGCTGATTGCATCGTTGCATTGCCTAAACATATTATAAACAAATTAATATAAATATATAAATAATCATGGTTAGCATGCATAATGTCATATTAAGTTCAGGGCGTTTATTATTATTATTATTATTATTATTACTATTACTATTACTATTATTATTGTTATTGTTATTATTATAATTACCCCTTTCTTCCATTTTACTGTTTATAAACAGTATGCACATGATGACACCATATCTTCTTATACATTTTCATTGATCATTTCATAAAATAAATTGAATTGAAAACAATTTCAGCCAAAACATTAGAAACCGAATCATGAATAATATATAGGAACTGACTCAACAGAGCGGGTAATATACCTTGAGCCTCTGTTTGCTGTCTTTGTCCCAGAAATTGAAGGCACCATCAGACCCAGCAGTAGCAAATGTGCCATGTATCTGCAACAGGAGCAAGGTGATAAAACTCTTGAATGTTTTGAATATCAAATAGGTGAGTAAACTGTAAATTGTAATTGTGTGGAGCAATCAATTAATATTTACACAAAGATTGAGGGAAAAGAAAGCCATAAATTAACAATACTCCATAAGTAACAATATCTTTACTACTTCCTCAGTACAGATTTAATTGACCACTTTGCCATCGAAAATACCCTCTAGGTAGCATATCAGCATTGTAGACATCAATAAACAACAAATTCATTTGAAGGACGTATTTGGTATTTTACACCCACTTCTTAAATGAGATATTTTAAAAATTGGAAAACTAAATCCGGATGGATGGAGTATCTATTTTTGTTACACTTTCTTAACACTTCTCTGTCTCACTTTATTTTGTGAAATAAAGTGAAAGGAAAAGGGAAAGGAAAAGAAAGAAGTTTTCTCTAATATTCCTCATCAAAATGGAAGGAAAATCATTTTCCTTTTTCTTAGTGCATTTTCTTTTCCGTCCACTTTTTTTCTTCTGTTCCTCTCTAACCAAACTCTCTCATTTTCTTTTCTTTTCCCTTTCAAATTCCTTGATCCAAACACAGTTTTAAGATAAACAAAAAAGATGTCCATTTCCCCAATTTAAAGACCAATTGCTTTTCATTTTTCTCAATTCACCCTTATAGTCAACTTTTAAAATGATTTGCGTGGACCCTACTTGATGGATAACCTTCACATTTGATTTCATTAAGGAAAAAATGTACGAGAAGTAAACCTCTTGTACTCACTTTTTATAACAAAGCTCTTATACTTCTTATACTTTGCTAGAGAGGAAGTTTTAAATGGAGATCAAATGGGGTATAACATAATTCTTGTGTTTGGATGGCTGAAGTATGAATGGAAGCATCCCGAACACCTACAATCTCCGGAAGAAAAAAACCAGGGGACTTGAGATGGAATAATGGCCCAAATACCCAATTCCAATTAAATAGGTCCAATAACTAAGTATTCACACTCAAGCCCAAGCTTGCTTAAATGATGGCTTCCAAGCTATCTTGGATATGCAATTTCCAAATATGTTAACGAATAAATTTCCCGAATTGGATAGGCTAAGCACAAAGTGACCCATGATTTTGCCTTTTGAATTTCCATATTGAAATTATGTGTTCTTGATCTTATGATTTTTTTCTTGTGCTCTTGGGCCTAAGAATCGTGTGTTAGATTCTAATGAGCCCTAGTTTACACAAACAGTTTTTTTAATTTGAAGTACTAAGAAGGTTATTAACTACCGGACTTAAATTTTTAAATGAATAAAAATTGCAAAACAAAATTGCACAAAAAGGCACCTAACCAGAATGCAAAACAGTGATGAATATATAAATCTTACTGGATGGAAATTCAGTGAGTTGACAGAGTAAATGTCAGTGTTCTCCCTATGACATTTGAAAGTAAAGTTTTTGCCTTGTTGTGCATCATCAATGTGGTGCACTCCTACCCTTCCCTCAATTGAGCCAACCTAAAGAACCAATACAAAACATATTGTTATAATGAGCTACACTTATACTGACCCGTACGGGGTAGAAGGCAGAAAACAACATTGCAGAAATAAATGGCACACATGAAAACTGAATCTACTGTAATTACAACTCAATAATACAATATAAAACTAAATTACTACAAAATGTGGAGTTAAAACTCACCAGGAAACCTTGTTTATCAGGAAATGCAGCCAAGCACCTTGTCTGGTACTTCAGTGGTGACATGATCCTCTTGAACTCTGTCTATAATGATGATATTGTGTCATTAATTGTGTCCGCGGAATAAAATTTGCACGCACTACTTTAGACAATTAGCAAATCAGTCAAAGCTTTACTAATTTTTAAGTAGTGTGTCTAGGGAAAATGAGGCATTATGTGAAATCCATGCAGGCATGCAGCCAACATTGCTTCACTGTTCAGCAGGTGAAACACCACCATTTCAAAGTGGCAAGCCGATCAAATTATACCGTAATGGGATACAAATAACAATAATATTAAAATTAATGTTACAACCACAACAGCAATACTAATATTATAATAATATAAACACCCCATGCAAGGATAGGGGTTGCACATCCATAGTGTGTCTGTCAATCAAACTCACTGATAGTTGAGATTTTGTTTGTCTAAATTCACTATTTCAGTATTAAGAAATAGTCCCAAAACTTTATGAATAGCCAATAACTTAACTTCATTGCATCCTCAATATAATATCATATATTGTTGCATATGTAGTGAAATACCTGAGGATTTTGCAAATTAAAAACTATAAGATTTCTGTCGGCAGTTCCCGCAACCATTAGAGGATGTTTCACTGCAAGTGCATAACAACGTTCAGGAAGTTGTTGGACATGTGCTGGGTTGGGCTGCCGTAGATCCCAATACCTGAAGAAGACAGTTATAAATTCCCCTCTTGAATCGACTAACTGGATAGATCCATTAATGCATGTGTGCAATGGAACACATTTTCAACAAAATGAAAGGTAAAATGCCTACACAGTCATATACAAAAACACTAAGACTTTTAGACCAAACATTCCCAATATGTCCCACTCAGAAGTAGGATCTAAAGAGGGTACAATACTACAATGTACGCATAATCTGCAGATTTGTCCAACGAAATCATTAGAAACTAGGACTCTAAAAGTATTTAACTTATGCAGCAAAATAAAAAAAAGAGGTTTATTTGAGCGATAAGATAAATAAAATAGGGAAACATTACATGTCTATAAGTAAAACAAGTTAATAAAATAATTCCAAAGGAGTGTCTTCTTTGTGTTAAAAATTTTGAATAATAATCTAGCTCAATTCCAAAAATAACTGAAGTTTTTTCCAACCCCTTCAAATCACTAAAAAAAAGTTGCTCTAAAAGAGATTATTATTACTTACCTCAGGGTTTTATCCCAGCTTCCAGTGACCAAAAGGTTCATCTCAGGAATCCAAGCAACCTCTTTCACAGGAGCATCATGCATGGCAACAGTTACTGGTTGATTAGTAGCGAGTGGCCACATCTTTACTAGCTTGTCACAGCCTCCAGAAAAGACTGTAGTGCCATCATCCTTCCACGTGGAGCACAAAACCTTCCAAATTTTACATTAAAAAAAACAATTAACCACATGGTGAAATCAAAAGAATACAGCAGAACACTTTTAGAAATATGTGAAAATTGATATAATACCGGTTGGTCATGTGATATAGATGCCTTTGGCGTTGTGCCATTATTCATTCCACTTTGCATTACTTCCCAACAACGTACCTAAGAAGGAAATGCATGCAAATTAGTTCTCACCTCACCCTTGGGCATGTGGGCCGTGAATGTAAGCTTATGCTTGAACAAGAAAAAGAAAACAAATATATAATTAATAGCTAAAGAAACATTTGCCTTTTCAATGAAGATTAAATGAACCTGATTGTCCCATGATGTAGCCACCAAGAAGTTTGCCTTGGGGCTAAAGCAGAGGCTTGATACTGAGTCACTGGGAGGTTGCGCTACCTTCATTCACCATACCGAACATTAACAAAAGTAGACACGACTCAAACAAACACTCATTGAATTAATGCTCATAACTCGATACCTCACTGGACTTATTAGGATTTGTATTTGCCGTAGTAGATATGCCAAATGCCGACATTGAAGCTGGTTATGAACTGAAACCAATCAAGCATAAATCGTTGTGTAAACTGCTAATTTGAATTCTTAAAAAGCACTTCCAAAATAAAAGTTTGAGGCATTAACAAGACTTGTGTGTAAATATAAATTATAAGATTGAGTAATATACAATCTGTTATATGGAATAAATACTTATATCCTCCGTATTTTGATAACAACATTTAGAGTAACATAAAAAAAAGTAGAGTAAAAAATACTCCCCTTGTCCCGGAAAGATCTTCCCAAATGCCCTTTTGTCCGGTAAAGATCTTCCAATTACCTTTTCTAACATTCGAAATACCACAACTACCCTCACTCTATTTATAACACCTCAACCACCTCATTTAATATATTCCACCCACTTTCATAAGCTTCTACCCTTTTTCAACTATCCTTAAAAATCATAAAAAGTCAACTGGAGAAGAACCGAATGGAGGAAGTAACAAATTTAAAACTGGAATAGTTTTATACTATAATGGGTAAAATATGTTTATAGTCCTTGCGAATTTAGTGAATTTTGTTTTTGGCCCATATAAAATATTTTTTAATTAATTCATCCTTGTAAAATATCTTTTTTTTGCAAATAGTCCTCTTTAATTTGGAGCTAACCTTGAGTATGCTTTTGATCCCTGCAAAATTACGAATTTTGTTTTTTCGTCACTCTTGGAAACAGACTCTCTACTTTCTGGTATGGGTAAGATCTGCGTACACACACCTTCCCCAAACCCTACATTCGTGGGATTCAACTGGGTTGTTGTGGTTATGGTTGTTGTTTTTTGTCCCTATAAGATTTTTGTTTTTTGTTTTTGGTCCCAATAAAAAAAATGTTTTAGAAGGATCAAAAGCAAAAGTATGTAATATATACTCAACTTTTGTAAAAATACTTGGCACTCAACTTTTCACATCTTCAAAAACATGTGCTAAACAATATTGTGTAATATATACCTATTAATTCATATGTGCTTGTTATTATCTGAGCTTTTAGGTGTAATTATACTTACTTAAAGTATAACTTGTCTCATAACAATTCTTGTAAGTTTGCTAAACACCCAAAAATGTTATAATGAATCAAAGGTAACATATAATATGAAATTTCAAAAACAATTAAGTCTTGAGTCACTCACTTTCTTGTAAGTTTGCTAAACACCCAAAAATGTTATAATGAATCAAAGGTAACATATAATATGAAATTTCAAAAACAATTAAGTCTTGAGTCACTCACTTTCTTAAACAAGTAATTGTCAAACCAAAATGGAACAAATATACGTCTTTTTCTAGCTATTAACTTAAAGGGAAATTCATAATTTCAAGGTTGGAAAGGATCTTTTTTAGATAACTACAATGTATTTCATCATGCCAATTTGGATGATAATCTATAATTCTCTTCATGTCGTTTGTCATACAATGGGATTCGCATTCACTAAGAGCTTGTTCTAACAATTGATATAAATACGGAGAGGAATTTCAATTCATGTCATAATATGCTCACTCCTATTCATGTTAGACAGATTCTCCAATGATCCGTGCTCTGTGAATCATGGTGTCTTTAAAATACATTTGCATCTTAATTTCAAATAGTTTAAAGAACCAAAGTTACCTAAAACTCGGACTTTACTAATTAGTGTAATAAAAAAACCTAATCCTTCATAATGTTCATGTGGAAATTAACTTAACAACAAATGACAATTTGATAGTTCACAAATCCAGAAATCACAAATTTACCTATCATAAATCACAATTTATAATCGTCTTAAAAATATGGAGTATTTAGGTTAATTGAACAAAATCCAAGAAGAAAAACTGATTTGAGATGGAAGATTTACCTGGCTGTTGGAGGCTGTCGCAGGGAACAATGAAGGCCGGGAATTAGCGGCGGAGGTGTCAGCGGCGCTGGGCTATGGCGGAAGGATGACCCAGTTGGCGGTTTATCGGGGTGCTGCGTGCGACGTGCCCGGAGCGGTGGCGACCCTGTTAGCGTAACCTCTACGACCCCACCGGAAATGGACGCACCCGTGTTAGATGCTTAGGTTTTAACGGTGACTCGGTGAGTTGTGGAGGTATATATATATATATATATATATATATATATATATATATTGGTTCAAGTGAGATTGCGATCTTAGGAAAGAAATAAGAATGAATCTGGTGCTTTAGATTGTGAGATCTAAGGGTTAAGATTGCATCAAAATTAGGTCCACCAAAATGATTTAAAAATGCATCATGTCGAAATGCACCAAAATACTTTAAAAATGCACTATCTCAAAATCTGAGTGCAGGATGCAATCTGAGCCGCACGATGCATCAGATCCAAAGGCTAGATTTTATTCTTATTTCTTTCACCAAGGTGCATTCTCACCTGAACCGCCCCCTATATATATATATATATATATATATATATATATATATATATATATATATATATATATATATAGGGGGCGGTTCAGGTGAGAANTTGCATCAAAATTAGGTCCACCAAAATGATTTAAAAATGCATCATGTCGAAATGCACCAAAATACTTTAAAAATGCACTATCTCAAAATCTGAGTGCAGGATGCAATCTGAGCCGCACGATGCATCAGATCCAAAGGCTAGATTTTATTCTTATTTCTTTCACCAAGGTGCATTCTCACCTGAACCGCCCCCTATATATATATATATATATATATATATATATATATATATATATATATATATATATATATATATATATATATATATATATATATATATGCAGTATTGGGTTGCGGTGTCGACTCTGATAGCTTAACTTCTACGACGAGTGAAACAGAAATTAGGAAGTACTCCGGTATTACGGATTTGATACCAAAAAAATTTTAAAAAAAGGGGAAAATCAAATTGAAAAATACTCCGGAGTATAGAAACGAAAAAGGTTTTGTAAAATATCGAATTGTAATAAATCAAACATTAGGTGGTTTGATATTTGGGAACGACAAGAGTCAACTCTTCATATCGAAAATCATGAACTGAATATGCATTAATATACCCTCTATTAGAAATATAACGATGTTATATATTTTTCATTAAATAATAAGTTTAGTTTTAAAGGTTTTTGTTCAAAATTTATTATGTGTACATTGTACATTTTTATTTAGGTTCCACTTACTTTTTTGTAGATGAATTTAAAAATATTAAGACAAATTTGAAATATCAATTTGTTATCATCCATTCATTTTAGTTTATAAAATAAAAACTAAGTTTCGTTTGCATTTCTTGCATTTTTTTTCATTTTTTAGTTTTTTATGATTTTTTATGTAAAGATATTTTTGATTTTTCAAATATAAAGGGTTTTATGACATTTAAAGTTTAAATTAGGTGCACGTATGCGTTGCGTAAATTTAATGATATCGCATAATTATGTTATGTCTTTCCAAAACTTGCACATATACAATTCTTTGTTTGTTGATATTATATTTTTATTCAATTCAAAATATCGGTGTTAATATGAATTTAAGAATTTTAAAAATTAAGACTATAACCTGTTGAATCGATCAAAATTCGATGACACTAAGGAGGGTCTATTCAATATAGATTTCAAAAGATTTTTATAAATTCTTTGGAATAATGGATTATGTGAAATATGTATAGATTGTTTTAAATTTACACAAAGTTAGATAGATTTTAAAATATTTTATCATGACGATTTTAAAAGATTTTGTTTAATTGCGTGATTCTACGCAAGCACCATAACAAAAAAATAAGGGAGAGGAGGAATAAAAGAGCATGGAAATATTCAATTGAAGATGATCAATGAATGAAGAGAACGTCAAAGCTCAATCAACAATTATGGCAGAGAGCTTATAGCAAAAGTAATAAAACAGAAACTTTCAAATAGAGAACAAAAATAAGTTGAACATAGTGAAACGAATCTCTGTTCTCTAGCTTGCAAGGATTCATTGAACTCACAACTCACATAGTGTAACCATAGTGTAACATAGTGACACTATGTTTGTTTTGAGTTCAACTCATTTCGTTTCAAATGAGTGTAACATAGGGGGTGTTTGTTTTTTCTGCAGGAAAAGGTCTGCAGTCTGCGAACCACTACTGTAGACATCTGCAGGAGAAGTGGTGGGTCAAAGGTCTACGGTCTGCAAGAAGAAGACTGTTTATTTTTTAATGTATGTAGGCTGCTATATAAATTAATGGTAGTAGTGTACGGTGGTGGTGTATGGACGATTGTGGTGGTGGTGGAGGGTGGTGGTGAAGGGTGGTGGTGGACGTTGACGGCGGTGGTGGCGGTGG